AGATAGATAGATAGATAGATAGATAGATAGATAGATAGATAGATAGAGATTTATCTTACACAAAAACAAAACAAACCAGGCCCTGTGCCGAGCTTTGTTTTACTCAGATTGTTAGATTATTTTTGGTGTGTCTTTTGTTTGTTTGTTTGTTTTGAGGTTGTTTTGTGTTCATTTTTTGACACGGTTGACAGCTCTGGCTGTCCTCTTTCTTTAAAATGTCTGTTATTACATAAAAGAATTTATCATGTGGGGCAGATGTGTGGCGGTCAGAGGACAGCCTGTGGGAACTGACTCTGAGGGCTCTGAGGATTGAGCCCAGGTTGTCAGCCTTGGTGACAAGTGCCGTAACTCTGGCAGTACTCGCTCTCCGGCTCTCCGGCGCTGCTTTAGTTTTCACTGGTACATGTTTACAGTACTGGTTCCATGAGGCCATTTTCGTCACCGTGTGAAATGTGCTTCACCCATGCTCCACACCCCCCCCCCGTGCTCCTCCACCTTCTCAACATTTTCTAGTTCGTTCCTTTGTTCCCAGAGTTTCCCTTTCGCCTTTATGTCATACTTATATGTATAATTTTTAAAGATTTATTTTAAATTTTGTGGCACTTCTGTGCATACGCCACATGTGTGTAGGTGTCCCCAGAGTCCAGCAGAGGGGCTCTGGAGCTTGAAGTACAGATGACTGGTTGTAAGCCATTTGACGTGGGTGCTGGGAAACGAACTCTTGTCCTTTAGGAGCAGCAATTGTTTTGAACCACTGAGCCATCTTGCCAGCTCCATATATTTATAATTTTCTGTTTTTTTTTTTTTTTTTTGTTTGTTTGTTTTGAGATAAGGTTTTACTGTGTAGCTCAGGCTGAACTTGAACTCACTGTCACCCAAGCTGGTTTACTATGACGTCCTGTCTCAGCCTCACCGAGCTGTTGGAGGGCCTTTTAGGTAAAGAATGACATGATCTACTTTGGCTTTACGAGCTGTGTTCGCATTGTGGGAAATGCCCCTATTCTATGCACTCCCTTGACCCCCACCCCTTTGAAAGGCTGCAGTTCGTCTGATGGATAAGGCAGGCTGCATGTTAGTGACTGGGATGTCCTTGAATGTCGTAGAGAAGAGACATTGCTTCCCAGGTTTGCGCTCCATCTGTGTGATCTCACGTGATTGTCTCAATTCTTTATACAATTGAGTGGGTACAGCTCCCAAGATGTCGCTGTCCCATTGAATACAGAGGGTGTTCTCTGCCTGGTGGCTAGCTCTCAAATGAGGGCTAAGTTTCTCAACAGTTCTATCCTTTCTTATAATTAATCCCTTTTCCAGGATCACAGCCACCTTCAAGAGACCCCAGTGGGACAGCTATAGCCCCAGAGCCCCGGCAGCCCCCCAGCACAAACTGCTTTGGTGGCAGGTCCCGGTAAGTGCCCCTTGTTGGTGAGACGGTCCTGGGAAGGCACTTGAAGCTGTGGAGAACACACTAGCAAGTGGCAAGGAACTACACATTAGAAACTTAGAAATTTCTCTCCACTGATGCAGTCTGCTGAGGAGTTCTCGAGGGAGAACAGGACTCCGAATTCTTAGGAGAGTCAGCAGTACACTGACATTGGGGCTGGCTGGTTGGCTTTTTGGGTAGGAGAGCACCTGTTGAACAGATCTTGACCTTCTCTTACTGGTCAGGGGCTGCGGTGGTCACAATGCGTGGAGAACATGGCTCTTTGGATGTAGAATTTTCTGACTGCATTTCTCTTTTGGGGGTTGGCTGATGTTTCCCATGGTTGAAACCTTTTAAGCTGAGGGTCTGAGTTCATTTATACTTGTTATGCCTATTGTGGATGATGTAATTATGTTTACTATTTCTTCTTATAACCTGTATTAGTGCTCTATAGTCATTTCCATGGCAACTGAATTCCTAGGCAAGAGAATAGTTTTAAATGTATTGGAGAGATGGTTTAGTGTTTATTACAGTGTACAAAACTCCCAGACATTATCAGGGAGAGAATCATATAGATGTAGTTTGTGAATATTGTCTTCTTACAGTGGGCAAATTGCTATTTGAAATCTTCCCAAGAAAATACAAAATAGTGCTTTTGGGAAACTGAGTTGTGTTCTAGCCGGTACCCACAGCATCTGACAGATAACCTCGTAGAGGTCAGCTTTTGAACTGGTTTGTTTGCGGCTTTTGAAGGTTAAGGTGACCAGAACGTGTTGGCAGCTAGAGAGAGTGGACATATAGACATTTGCCCTTTGAGACCATAGTTTCACTAGAAGCTGAGATCCATTTCCCTAGTTTTACCTCTCCGTGTTCATACAAAAGCATCTTACACTGAAGCCCAGTCACATTTTCTGTGATTTGCTCTGCTAGGTGGCTTGTGTGTAATATATAATTTGGGTTTGTAGGATCAGGACCTGTACTATGCTTGGCATTGCACATGCATGTGTGAGGGCTGAAGATCAGAAGGCCTTGACTTTCCTCAGGTCCCTCCAGCTAACGTTAGTTTGAATCTGCATTTGGACAGTTTTTCCTCCCAGTGACGTTCTTACTGTGACCAGTTTAGGACATCCTTGTAATTAATAGTTTTCTGTCTCCCTCTGGGACCTGTCTTTTTTGTCCTGCTATGACGAAAACCTCTTAGATTTATTAGCTCCCTTGCCTTGGCATTAGTAACCCCACAAAGATTCTGGGAAGCCTGTCCAGTCCAGAGTCTCTGGTGAGCTCTGGATAGCTCATGGGCTGTGTCTGCAGACAGCGGATCCCAGAAAGGAAAAACAAATAAACTCAGGCGGGTGTGAGTCTTCTGGGAAGCCCTGGGAGGGCCAGGGGAAAATGAGGAAGCAGAGCTGACTGGGAGAGAGGGCCTCTGGGACCTGAGCCATGTTCTCAGTCACTGCTGTCTACTGCCACCCCTTCTTCCTTGGAGGTGACCAAAGCTCACTTGGAGACGTTACTCTGTCAGCCTGAAACAGAGTTTAGCACCTTTATGCTTCCCTTTAAATCTGACTGTAGTCTCATCAGTGTTGCTGGGAAGGAGAAATGAGTAAGTGTAAATCTGTTTCATCATTCAGTGGTAACAGACATAGGCCCTGCTTCTAAGGAGAGCCTTCAGGCTGTCTTCCGAGCAGTTGTGTTCATGGACAAGTGTCTGGGGCATTTTCAAGAAGTAATTATGGAGATTAGTACCATCTAAATGTGCACACCGATGTACTGATTATCTCTTAATGAAAGTGACATTGTACATTTCCTTATTCATATCTGTTTATTTTATAGCTCGTCATTTGGCATTTTCTCTGTAGGAGCCAAGGGAGAGGAAGTGTATCCCAGAAAGCTGAGTAGAACTAAGAGTAAGAAGCCTGCTGTCTGCAGTGAACACACTGAAAGCCAGGCTCACTGTAGTCATGGCAACGAAAAGATGGAAATGCACGATATCTGATACCAAGGACTTTAGAGCAGAAGGACACCAGGCAACAATCACAAGTGCTAGTGCATACACACCTAAGTGCTTATACACAGCACACCCATAGTGCGTACACACCCAAGTGCTAGTGTGTACACACCAGGACATCCACAGGGGTCAGGGGCATCCCTATAAGCAGAATGTTCTGCGTGGACAAAGGCAAGGACAATAAGAAAGGTCGGCTCACTGGGGGACGGGAGTCTTTTGGTCATGCTGCATGGACAATAAGGGGAGTGGTCGCTGTAGCAGCCCTCATCCAACCAGCACCTGCCTGTGTCTGTTTTGTTTCTTTAAGAACCGTTTTATGTCCTCAGCAAAGTAGAGCAGCGGCATAGGCGTTCTCCGGCACCCCCGCAGCCCACGATCAGCCTGTGTTAGAGGGGACACCAGGTGACACAGCATTGTCACTCAGAGGCCACTGTTTACGCTGGGGCTCTGGCTAGCTGGTGTCCATTCTGTGGGTTCTGACATTCACATGTGTGTCCACCGTTACAGCCTCATGCAGAGTAGCCTCTGCCCTGTGCTCCATTTAGTCAGCCCTCCCTGCTCTTCCAGCCCAGCCCTGGCACTGGTCTTTTAATTGTGTCCATGATTTTCCTTTTCTAGAAGTATGTGCGCTGTGGACCTTTTTTCATGTTAGTGTCATTGACTTAGAATACAGTCGGTTTCTGTTTACTACTGAATAGCATTCTGTTGTTTGGATCCAGCACGCTTTGTTGATCTATTAGCTTACGGAAGTGTACTGTAGTTGATCCGAAGTTTTGCTAACTATGAACAAAGCTGCAGCTAGCATCAGCTTCTCAGCAGTGCAGCCTGTACTGCACACAACTTTCCCAGACGGGAGGCTGGGAGTCTTCCGGTCACTGTGGAGGAGAGCTACATGCGAGTGTCTGGCCCAGTAAGTACATTTAAGACTAAAATCTGAAACCAATTGAAAGGATTTCTTTTCCTCAAAGAAATTTATACTTTACTTTTATTTTTTCCCTCAAGACAGGGTCTCACTTTGTAGCTCTGGCTGTCCTGGAGTTCACTATGTAAACCAGGATGGCCTTGAACTTAGAGCTCTGCCTCCTGCGTGCTCGAATTAAAGGCGTGTGTCATTACCTGGCTGAGTCAATCCTTTCAAGTCTCTACAGTCTGGACCCAACCAAGCCTCCACATGAAAACATGCCACCCTGACTAAAAAGTAAACCTACTTCAGACCATTCGGACGCCCTCCTTTCAGCTGCTGGCCTCCTGTTCTTGAATCTGTGTGGGCCTCACCAGGATGCCTGGTAGTGATGGCGCATGCCCTTAATCCCAGCACTTCGGAGGCAGGGGTGGATCTCTGAGTTCCAGGCCAGCCAGGGCTATACAGAGAAACCCTGTCTTGAAAACAAACAAACAAACAAACAAACAAACAAAAGAATCAGCCTTAAGCAGTGGTAGAATAGAGATGAGGCAGAAAAAAACTTCAAACTACCTATATGTAATCATGGAAGAGACTGGGGGATGAGGAGGAATAGAGGGGGCTCTCAGGCTCTTCAGTTGTGGTGTTGTTCATGGAGAAAAGGAACCTTAGAGAAAGGGTATGTGTCACATTGCCTGCAGCGTGGGCTTAGGTGCTGGGCAGGTTCCCTGAATGGTAGTGCTGCTTGGTTGAGGGCAAGGCCATCCTTCTGAAAGGAGGCAGAGGAGCGAAAGCCATGCTTCAGAGGCATAGCCTCAAACACTGTGTTCTTGGGCACAGGCAACAGTGCTGAGATAAAGGTGACCGCAATTTAGAATGCAGGACTGCTATTCTCGGACGTCTCAGCTCTAGACATTTGTGGCTAAAAGGGAACGATCTCAAGAGAAGCCAGTGAGCAGAGCGTGGGTCTTGGAGGAATGGCTCTTTAGTCAAAACTTGGGCAGCTTGGTGTGTGTGGAAAGATGAGAACAGGGCTGACTGCAGATGCTCTGAGCCGACATGGATGGTAAGAAAAGCAGCTGTGGTCAGACCTTTCCTTCAGGGTTGTGTCGGACCTGCATAGCTCCCCTGTAAAGTACCAAGGTTAAAGGAGGTGGTAATTTGGGGTTTGGCTTAGTGACTGTCTTTGTGATGGCCGACTTAATAGCCTAAATAGAGCTACTCCTTTCAAATGCTAAAACAATTCTGTATTTGAGGCCTTTTTTCCAGTTTGCAATAGATAAAGATAACCACAGAACTAAAACTTAGAATCTTTATTGCTCTACTATTCCATGAAGCTATGTTGCCTTATTAGAAATTCAGTAAAGACGCTGGTTTCAGTATTCTTTTGCCTCCCATCTTTCTATTTATTTACTGATTCACCTCACTTGGTAATCCGCCTCCAGCGGCCAGTGACACCCAGACTCACTCATGCTACCTGCAGGTTTAACGAATGATCCAGTCCTTTTCAGAAGCATTCTGTGCCTCAGAGCCTACGATGGCAATCTCAGAGAATTCCTCTTTTTTCCTTCTAATTTCATTCAACCTTATTATTTTAAATGAAGTGGTTCTTGGGAGGGTAAGGCCACTGTGAGTACCAAGCAAGACCTCATCTTATTGCTCCTCCTCAGAAGTTTGATTTAGTCAAAAAATTACAAATGTATTCCATAAAAGTGGAGGACAGTATTAAAATGGCCATTCAAGAGAGGCTTCATGGAAAAAGAGCTGAGGAGGCATAGGGCTTAGGGATTGAACATTGAAAGACTGGGTCAGGGACAGAGAGTGAGTGTTGAGAGTGTGTCTGTTGGGTGGGGGCAGGGTGGGGTGCCAGGGATGTAGCCCAGGCCCTCTTGCATGCTGGGCAAGCTGCTTGCCGCCCAGCAGCACCCCCAGACTCTTTTTCTTTAACACTTTTTCTCCTGAGAGTTACCTGGCTGGAGGAGTAGGCTCACAACTGTCTGCAACTCCAGTTCCAGGGGATGTGGTGCTCTCTCCTGGCTTCCATGGGCACCAGGCACACATGTGGTACACAGACAC